GAGCCTAGCTTTTCAAGATCGGAATGGCATCATTTAAGTACATTTTTCTGATTGCTGGAGGAAAACCCCCGGAAAGGAACACTCAATGCAGAGAATTTTAATAGTTATATTGTCAGATTTTTTATTTGATCAGTTAAAATCATATCCACTGGTATGAATGTGAGTTGAGATTAGAATTAGGTTTCTCTTTGCTATGCTACATTACTGCAGTCACTCTTTCTATAGCACTGCATCCCTGAAAACTCTTTTTTCCTTCTACTTGATGTGGTATGCATTAACAAACTGAATTTCCCATGAAATCTTGATTCTGATTGCTTAGTAAACAGATGATAGTATTTTACAGTTTTGTAGTGAGACAGACATTTTATGCTTGTAAACTAAATATGTACAAGGGTATTAATTCAGCTAAGGAATCCGCTCCACTTGATACTAAGTGCCATTTTTTATACACAATCAGAACAGAATATGGTGAATATCAACAGTCATTCAGCATCTTTGTCATTTTGATTATCACCATTCTTAGTATTCCTAACTGCTGCACTGCTAAATCCACGCTCAATTTGTAAACATCTTCTTTTGGACGTTACAGGTTCTCAGACTTGCTAATATCATACGGGCCATGCTACAGTGTAACCCTTGATGGAAAGTGTAGCTGTATGATTTTTTTCCTCTATATAACAATAACCATTTACTCAGTTTCTTCCCATAGAGAAGCCTAAGGCTCTACAGCCATCATGAGGTCGGGTGTAGGGAATTGAGACTGGAAATTAATGGCATTCACTACACAAAAATTGTACAAGGTGGTATTTCTTAGGAAGTCTTGTATGTAATTTACAAAGTTCAGCTAGTTCTCTGGGCTTCTAGAGTTAGCTTATACAATCATGTAGAGAAAGCATTGGCTTTGGAATTGGGAAATTTTGTTTCTTCATGGTACAAGACTGATATTATATTTTTCTGCACTTAAGTGTTTTTAAACAATTTGAAATAGAAGTCCTTAGTGTACAAGACAGGTGCAGTACTGCTGTGTTGCAGGATATTGCTTTATTTTGGGGGGAGGGAGGGCAAGAATCAGTACCATTAACCATGTGTGCAAAAAGCTACATTTATTCTGTTATACTAATTCATTCTCTGACCTCAGCTGTAAAATACTGATTGCCTAATTAGTCAGTTACATGAGGGTTCCTTTTTTGTTTAAAAAAAAAATCTATTCTGTGTCGCCTGACTGCCTTCTCCTTTTTATGCGTGGTTATCACAACATACAGGGCTTGGGGGGTGGGGGGGGGAGAACCACATGCCCCACTTCCATATGATGAGGAAGCTTTCCTGGGCGAATGCTTTCAGCTTCAGCAGAATCTACACTTGCATTCTCAAATAAAAATTTCCAGCCTTACTGCTGATCACAGCCTGACACTCCATTGCCGCAGGATGGTGAAACCAAATTTCACACTTTAAAAATGTAAGACCCCCCTCTGTCAGCCTAAAATATAATATAAATGCTAAATACTGTGATGGGTGGGCATGTGTGTACGCACACATGTACCCTACTCCCTTCTCAGGCCAGAATCAGAACAGCTCAGGTGTGTAACACAGGCACTATGCTAAGAGGAAGATAGAACCTTCTTCAACTCAAGTGGTCTGTGTGAGGAATGGAGTGCTAATCCTCACTAACCCTCTGAAGTTCTGATGACATTGTGCTACAACCATAGCCAGCAGAAGTGTTAGGTGGCCACTGAAGTGTTAAAATATTTTATGTTCACCCTTTAAATTATGCTTGAGCCAACAATCAAGCCATTGTCCACTAGTTTGTCATTTTGTACCTTAAATATGAGATAATGTGAATTACGGATGTTGCAGAATGTAGCTGTACTCTTTGCAGTCCCTAATCTTTATATCCAATCCTAAATCGTTTGATTTGTCTTTTTGTCCTTGTACACACTTGTGATGAAATCTGCAAGAAAGTTCCGCATTTCAAAATTTGGTTTTGTTCCAAATCAGAATGAAATAATTTTTTTCCCCTAAAAAGTTCTTGCAAACTAGAAATTCCAGGAAAAAAATTTGTTTTGGAAACACCAACACAGATGTTTGCAAATCGAAATTTGCACCCAGTGGACAGGCAGTAGCAGAATGAAACTGACCTAGGAAATTTTCCAACCACTCAGTTCTAGTAATTTCCTGTTAGAGACCCATATAATTTTTATTTATTTATTTTTTTAAAAAAGAAGAGAGTTCAAGTATTTGAGTGAAGGCAGAATGAAGATGTATGAAGATTGTTTTCAGTTTGTAAAAATAAATCACCACCAAAACCAGAATGTACTGGCGCTGTTACAGCTAGTAGTCTTATCCAGAATAAGTTTGGTTCCCCCCAAAGACCCATCATCATCAGGGAACTATCTGAGCAAATAAATTAACCTTACATTGTATTTTGAAGGTCATTCTCTTGATCTAACAGGAGGGGCCGGAGTTCTAGATGAAAGGGTATTCCATTGAGAACATTTTGCCTCCAGTCCCAGATGTTTGAATATTGGGACTGTTCAAGCACAGCACTCTGGCATGCAGCTGTTCTGATGCGGCAGAGGGAGAGAAGCAGCCTTCTAGGTAGCCAGGACTAACTATACAGGACTTTATAGATCCACCTGCAAGGTGAGAGAGTTTCAGAACTCAGGCTGCAGCCTGAACCCAGAAGTCTACACTGTAATTCAACAGCCCTGCAGCCTGAGGCCCACAAGCCCGAGACACCCATGGGTTTTTAAGTGCAGTGTAAACATAGAGAGCGCTCTGAATTGCATTCAGAAGCAGAGATGGAGGTGGTGCAAGACTTTTGGATAGCGTACTGAGTGTTCCCTAAATAAGCATGCAGCTAGTTTTCTGCACTAGTGGGAGATTAGAATCATAGAATCATAGAATATAAGGGTTGGAAGGGACCCCAGAAGGTCATCTAGTCCAACCCCCTGCTCGAAGCAGGACCAATTCCCAGTTAAATCATCCCAGCCAGGGCTTTGTCAAGCCTGACCTTAAAAACCTCTAAGGAAGGAGATTCTACCACCTCCCTAGGTAACGCATTCCAGTGTTTCACCACCCTCTTAGTGAAAAAGTTTTTCCTAATATCCAATCTAAACCTCCCCCACTGCAGCTTGAGACCATTACTCCTCGTTCTGTCATCTGATACCATTGAGAACAGTCTAGAGCCATCCTCTTTGGAACCCCCTTTCAGGTAGTTGAAAACAGCTATCAAATCCCCCCTCATTCTTCTCTTCTGCAGGCTAAACAATCCCAGCTCCCTCAGCCTCTCCTCATAACTCATGTGTTCCAGACCCCTAATCATTTTTGTTGCCCTTCGCTGGACTCTCTCCAATTTATCCACATCCTTCTTGAAGTGTGGGGCCCAAAACTGGACACAGTACTCCAGATGAGGCCTCACTAATGTCGAATAGAGGGGAACGATCACGTCCCTCGATCTGCTCGCTATGCCCCTACTTATACATCCCAAAATGCCATTGGCCTTCTTGGCAACAAGGGCACACTGCTGACTCATATCCAGCTTCTCGTCCACTGTCACCCCTAGGTCCTTTTCCGCAGAACTGCTGCCTAGCCATTCGGTCCCTAGTCTGTAGCTGTGCATTGGGTTCTTCCGTCCTAAGTGCAGGACCCTGCACTTATCCTTATTGAACCTCATCAGATTTCTTTTGGCCCAATCCTCCAATTTGTCTAAATTCAGAAGATTCAGAAGTTTCTTCAGGGGTAACCTCCTATAGAGTGCATTGCAGTAATTAATTTGGGAGGGAAGTAATCCTACAAAAAACTAGGCTGGTTGTCAGTTTAGCACTTTTAGCCTTTTGCCTATGCTAAAATTAGTCACTCATTGCTCTTCTGATTCTTCTATCATTTTATTTTAATGTTGGATTATTTAAAAGTGATCTGCAAAGGAAAAGAAAAAATGGGTTTGTGCCTTTAAAAACAAAACAAAAGAAACCCCACCACACTTTAAAATTAGGCTTTTGTCTATACGGGAAAACTTGAAGGATATCTAGAAAGCTTGTCTTATTGACATCAGAAGTACTAAGAAAGGGAAATCTAAATTGTAAGGAGTGATAGTCATTAAGACTGTTTAAAAGTCTGGTTATGGTTTTAAACACCTTTTTAAAAACACTTGGGAGAAAAGTTCTAAGAATTCAACACTCCATTGCTGACGACTTCACAAAAATGCTGAAAATTTGAGTTTGAATTGCCAATTAGTTCTTCATAGGAAAACTAGAAAAAAGACTCAACATTTCTGATTTCTGAGATTAAAAAAAATATATACACACACGACACTATACAGAAGCAAATGAGGCACAAACATTTTTTTCCTTTGCAAGTCACTTAAAAAAATATTGTTTTCCATAAAAAGGACTGTATTTTAGTGGTTTAAAAGCAGGAGAATGAGGGCTTCTCTAAATGGACACTTACATCACAGTAAGCTTAGGTGTGATCTACCCCACTGTGCATTAAGTGTCTGCGCAGAGCCTGCTACTGCACACTGAGTTCCCTAGTGTGCTTTAATCTACTCCTGTTTCAAAGCGGGGTAGATCTACCATGCACTAAAAGTTCCTCAGTGTGATCTGAAGGGTCCACAAAAACTAGTGTGGGGCAGATTTACATCCCTGATTGTACACTTAGTCTGTGGCATTTAGGCAAGTCCCGAGTGTCTAGATTCCTGGCTTTTATTTCTACCTATTCTGCCACGAAACTGGGCAAGTCATTTAACCTCTGTATGAGTCATCTTAGGCAACTAGTAATACTTTCCCCAAGTCCCAAATTTGTTATGATGATTGCCTAATGTTTGTGCTATCAACTATTTTGGGATACTATGTTGAAAGTCTATGCATAAGACTAAGTGTTATAGTATTTATACAAATAGAAGTAATTCAATGACATTGTTTAGTAAGAAATATACTTTAAGTGGAGCTGTATGTGTTGGTTTTAAACATTACAGTTTCTGTATTTAATACTTTTCTTGATAGGGTGTTGGTCTGTCAGTCCATGGACACTTTCGAGTGGCTACTGAGAAGACACTTTTTGCAATGCCAGAGACAGCAATAGGTAAAGATTGAATACAATGTCATCTTTTAATGTGTTTCAAATGATACTAAGTTTGTTCATGTAACTAAGAGAAAGTGTACTTGATTGAAAGTAGAGAAACCCATGAAAGAAAATTTCAAAAGGGACTAGATGTAACATTAAAAGTATTTTCTATTAAATAGACAGACTAATGGTAATGATACTCAAACCAGCACCTACTCTCTATATTGATCAAAATAAAAGACTGGGATAAAATATTTTTGATAATTGAAGTGAGGGACTGATAGCATTGGCTATCGCAGCAGGGACTACAGAAGACTCCCAATCTAATTGTGCCAGTGCATTCCCATTCTCTGTTGCTGTTCTAAACAAGAATTAACTGGGCTAATTGATCTGAGGCTTTTATGATGATCTGCAAACCAATGCTAGAAACACAGGTTTAAGGAGAACTTAACCCACTGCAGTGCCTAAATCTGTCATTGGGATAGATTCAGATCTAGAGCAAGCAGGTGTAATTCCATTAATATTAGTTAAATTGCACTCGCTTATATTAGCTCTGAATTTGTCCCAGTTCATTTTGCTAAGTATTTATTCAGTGAAGATAAGTAAATATTTCAATTGGAACGCTATCATTTTTTTTAAATAAAAAAAAATTCCTTTAGCCTGTGTGCCTTATTGGCAACTAAAAATCATAATATGGAAAACATGCTACCAGTTTTTTAATGGTCAAAACAAAAAAAGTCAGTGGAAGGAATTTGGGAGTGTTTACATGCATACTGTGACACCAAGGAAAAAATCTGAAAAATATAAACTTTATTAAAGACAGTTATTTTAAAGCTAATAGCTTATTCAAACTGAAGGAAATAATTAATCGGGCCCAATCCTTCAAGATGCTGAAGGCCTTCAATTCCAATTGATTCCAAAAGGTAGTTAAGGATACTTAACTTGCAGGATAAAAGAAAGACAAATTAGAGTTCATATTTTCCACTGGCAATTATCAGCCATTTTTGCTTATTGCCAGGACAATTGCAGAATTCATAATGAAATTATTAGACTTTATAAATTGAACTTTAATATGAAGACTTTATAAAGGGTTAACTGATAGTTTAAATTGTTTAACAATTTAAACTAACTAATAGCTCGATCTGGTGGACTAACAGGTTGCTTATAAACAGTGGCTTATTAACCTTCTACTGATGTGGTTAGGTGTATACTTTCTATTTGTGTCTATATCACTTGTTACCCTTTTGTAAACCATTCATAAAAAGCATGGCCAAAAAAAAAAAAAACAACTGTTAGAGGACAAGTTATGTTTAATCTTTTAAAAATTAAAATCACAAAAAATAGCTTGGTAATTTGAATTGTCTTAGTATTTACTCAGGTATAAGTTGCCTATTCTTCTGAAAAGTTGGTGCTTTGAAATTAAGTGCCTTGATTACAATAAGGGTTGCACAGATCCCATTTCTTTGTGAACTTTAATTGGGCAGGGGCTTTCTTTAAATGGAAGATGTGCAATTTCCACTGCAGCCCTTTTCTTGCATTTAATTCCCCTCCTTGCACAGCCTTTTATAAAACATTCTAGCAGTTTTTCCTTTCATAAATAGGATCTTTTAAAAAAAAATAGACATTGTAAGGGTAGCTATTTATTAATGGGGCATCCCATTGTGCCATTAACAGAGAAAAGATCTGAACTGGTTTGCAGAATTATTGCAATAATCTTGATTGGGGTACTATAGAGGGTGCTTAGTACTGTCCTGTGTGGTTAAGGTACAGAAAAATTTGCCATAACCCACATTTGTGGATACTTTCTAGAACAGTGCTCTCTTATCGAGATTTTTCATGTTTGGTCTCTCCCTGAAGTTTGTTTTTAGTTTGAGCAAAGTTCTCTTTGCCTCATTGCAATTCTTTAAACCAACCTCTCCAACCAAGGAAATTAAATGCAAGACAAAAATAAAAACCTACTATTAATGAAACATTAAAATTGTGAAATCAAATAAGTAAAAAGATTCACAATTTTGTTTGAGTTCAAGTTCTGGCAGTGATGTTTCTACCACATTGCACTTACGTAGAATGTTTCATCCTTCCTTCTATTTTCAAATGGAAACCTTAATACATTCCTCTGTATTAAGAATGTAGACTAGAAAACTCCATTCCCTACTCTGGGGGAATTCTGTGCCAAAATAATTAAAAATTCTGCATACAATATTTTAAAATTCTGCAAAATTCTGTATTTTATTTGTCAAAACAATAGCATCACACCAGTTTCAATTATTTTTGGTCATTTTATTTCCAAATACCTGTCAGCAAGTATGTCTAACAATACAGATGACAAAAAAGATTCAGGAAATGAACAGAACTGAGTAATAATTTATTTAAACTACAATATAGACCCGTATTTCCTGCACCTCTCAGAAGCAGTGCAAAGGTTTGGGGGAGTCAGGGGTAACAGAGGAGCTGAGGGTGCTAGTTCACAACAGTAACTTGTGTAATACTTTGCTTCATCTTTTTACTTCTGAGACTGATTAGTATATCTGCCAGTCTGGAGCTGGAGACAGATGACAAACTCAGATCTTCATCCTGAGTAAGAAAGTAGTTTGAGCACAGTATTAAAATCCTAAAGGTCAGGATTTCTAATCCCAATTCTGATCTTTGTCTTGAACAAACCATTTAATATTTCTGCATCTGTTTTACCATTTCTAAAATAAAATATTTATGTAATCTACCTACCTTGCCGCGGTGTTACAATGTTTGACAAGTATTTGGAAAATGCAGTAATGTAGTTGCTAAGTAGTAGTGTGAGAAGCAGAGCACTTGAATACTCTTCCCATTTTTGGGGCAGTTTTTTATATCTGCATCCGTCGCAGCTCAGGGTACCAGGTTCTGTCAAGCTTCCTTTTGGACCATAATTGTGCTGTGTTCACTCTGAAGTCAAGAAGGGACACAGGTGTTTGGCCATAGATCAATGGTTCTTAACTGGTTTTGGTTGGAGTTGTCCTGTAATGACTGGGTACTACTTCACTGTCAAGTCTTCTTCTGCCATGCCCTGATGCAGCTACTACTGTCTCCTTTATTCTGTTGGTTTTTCTTCTTGTTCTCTTTTCTTTCATCTTGTTGCTTCCACAGCCAGCTGGAAAAGAAACTACCTTGAGATCATGAATAGAAAATAAGTCAGCAGCTCAGCTTACACCACTGACTTCTCTATATCCCCTCTGGCATTGCCTTCAACTGGACAGTACTTGTGGTGCTGTAAATCTCCTTTACTCTCCACAGAGAGCCAATTGGATATAGGGGACCAGCCCAGAATATCACAAGCTTCCTTTGTTTATATCTTCATTGTAGACCCTGTGATGGTGTTCGTCACATCTTGCAATTATTGCAATTTCCTCTTGAGCAGTCTAAGCTGCCTTCTCTCCATCTCAATTGGATTGGGAACCCCTACTGTAGTGTTTATTTTGGGCTTGATTAACAGTCTGTTATGTTTGATACTATATCACTGTTACCAGATTTGTTAGGTACCATTAGTGACTTTTTAGTATCCAGTGGTTACCACATGTGAATCTCATTTCCGAGGCCACTATGAAGGGAGATTTCTGGAGCCAAGGATGGGATGGAAGAAGCACTCAAGAGGGGCTGGAGGGAGGAAGGGAGAGAGAGAGCTGAGCCAGTATGAGGATAGTGAGATGAGTGACATTAAGGAGAAAGCAGCTGAGGAACTTATCTCAGGGTTGGCTAGGCTGTAGATGTTGGCAGTAGAAGGGAGGTAGATGAAACTGAACTCTTATTTAAAATGGCCTGTGCCATGTAGGTTCTGGGAGTGTTAAATACCCCATTTTCAGATCTGGTTTAAATCTGTTTTTGGTAATGTGGGAGTTGGTCTACATAGGCATTTATAAGATGCCAGTTGGTGAGAGATCTTCACACACAGGCATAAGCAGGGAAGAGGGTATCAAGGGAGATTTGAGGTCAGAACATTCCAAGTTGGGAATTCAAAGGTCTCTCCAACCTGAGGTTACTCAACTAAAGATGAATAAAAAGGTTATATGAGTGAAATAGGATCTTTTAGGTATTTATGTGTCAAAACCAATACCTTAAATTCTATACAGAAGACAATAAGCAGCCAGTGCATCTCACCAAGCACCAGCATTGTGTGTTCGTAGTGGGATACTCCACTTAAATAAGCTACTCCATACTACGCTTGCTTCAATGTGGATTTAAGGTACCATAGTCCATTCTAGAGGTGAGAATAGTATGAATGCTGGTGGCAAGGTCCACATTTGAGAGGAGAGGATGCATTCTTCTGGCCGGATACCGATGGAAGAAAAAAAAAAAAAAGCAGTCTTGGTCAGTGTTCATATGTGATCTAAAAGCAGCTGGGAATCTAACCAGACATCCCCAACGAGTGACCCTACCTGTTTATTTTATAGATAATATAAAATATTTGGGACCATAATCCTTACACTCTGTGCTTTCTAGCCATACCATCTTTTTTATGGAACAATGTGGAAAACTAGACCTATAGCAGGGTACTGTGTGGAAGTAGTTGTTTAATTGTGGGTATAGATTGAATGGGAAGAGACATGTCCATATATTAAAATTGGTTTTATTTATTTTGTGTACTAGTCATTCTTATGCGACGCAGTAAACTTTATAAACAAAGTTTACAGAGTCAGAATATTGTAAATGTCAATGCCATTACAGGGCAGAGACACCCCCCCACTCCCTACAATGTTATGCAGTGTTATTGTGACAGTTGACACCCTAAAATAGCAACATTTGATCAGTATTGTATATGTTTATAGTTTGCAGGGAAACTGGGAGACTATTCATACAAATAAAATATTTGGTCATCTGAATTTCTTTTTCACCTGCAAATAATACTGTTCACATTTACTGAATTTTAGTGTCTTGATAACTGGGGAAATTGCAGAATTTCTACGGTGTTAGTAATTGTTTTATTGGATAATACTTACAACCCATTTTGCAATAGAGTTTTAAAAAGAGTTTGATTGTGTATATCACTTGCAATTATAAGAGGTTATTTACTGAGCCATAGATAGAAAATAAAATCTAGTCTTACCTTTTTCCCCCCCATTCATCATTGTACAAAAAGTTCTTATAGTTATTAGAATTCAGTTGTGCTTGATAGAAGAGGTACAGTATACAAATCCAGAAAGTGTTACTGCTAAGAGTTTGGTAGTCCCTCAAAGGCCCAAAAATCCAAAGTTAAGGCTTCTTCATGCGATATTTAATTCACACTATGGTGCTCCAATACAGCAGAAGAAGGTATGTTATAGTAAATGCTCTTCTGCCTATGCATTCTGTGGGCTGGAGAGCAGCATGCATAAGTTGACTAAGAAGTCACAATTGATGTGGGTGTGGGTAGGTGTGCACACACCCCCAGTCCACAACATGCCAAGTAGTGTGTCTAAGCAGATTTTAATAGCCAATCTGCACATCTTTGAAAGGAAGGGTATTCCAACCATCCTCTAATAGGAGGTTATCCAAAACCAGGCTAGTGGGCACCCCATTCACATTAAATGAAAATTCCATGACTTGAGCCAATCAAGGGGAATCATTTTTTAGAGATTTTAAGAGCTTCTGCCTATCGTCTGTAACATGGAGTTCTTATTAATATACCCTATTACACTGTGAAGTCATTATGAAAAGGATGATCTTATCAGAGTCCTTATTCCCCCCTCCCCATGGCAGCTGTAAAATTATGTTCCAAAATGGGAGCAAATCCTCTCCATTATTGCTCTCCTTGCCTAAAGAAGAATGCAGTAGCTTGTGGACTTTAACAGTGGGTTATTGGTAGGAAACTTTGCAGTGCCATTGGGTTTGTGTTGGTGATGTTGGCTAATGAGCAGAAAAATGATTGTGAATATTTCCAGCTGCAATTTTGTCTCAATTGCCATTGGAAATTGATTTTGTAAAAAAGTAAAAGTAAAAAAAATTAAAAATCAAAAGTATAATTTTCTTTGTGAATATAATTTTTGAAGTAAACACACACATTACAGGATAGAAAAATCAAATATTTGACCATTATATTAGTGTAAATATGTAATGGGAAATGTAAAAAAAATTAAGGGTTGCTTTTGGGGACCACAAAACTTATATATTTGCCTTTGACAAGCCCAAGGATCTGTCCTTTTGGAACTCTTTAATATTAATGTGATTCTTGGACTTTCATTGTTTACTTTTAAAATAAATAAGTTTCTACCCATTGCCTTTGAACTTACAAAACTTTCAAAATGTACTAATCATGAAGGCTGAGATTCCCCCCTCCCCTCCCACCTCCAAATGCAGGTTAGTTGTGGTCTTCTCTAAAGGTGCCCAGGACTAGTCTTTGGGGTCTCAAAGCTGATGGGTCCTAAAATTTTAGAGAGGTCTCAAAACATTCATGACTTTTCCTTAAAAAGAATATTATTTGCTATATGGGAGTTTATTATATATTTTAATAGATTCAATGAACTATGAAGTTGGAGAGAAAGATTAGCTTCCACTTTTGATTTGCAACAAATTACTATCTTTTTCTTTGTGCTAATTCGGCAACATGATGCTAAGTGTTTTACAGATATATATAAAGAGAAAGTTCTTCTCATGAAAAGCTTGGGAATGAGCACTGATATCTGGCTTATCTGTTGTGAATACTTGCCAGAGGGAGGACTAGAATTTGAGGGCATTGTGGAAGAAGTGCACTTTAGGGAGAGGCTTGGATAAGAGGGTAGAGGTCTGGCAGACCAAGTCAAAGAGGGCTGGTACAGGCTAACGGGCTATGTAGAAACATGGAGGTGAGAGTGGGAGGAAGGCTGAAAGTGTGCAGTGAGTTGTGTGTTAAATGGCTGTTATGATAGTAAATTCTTTTCGACCTTTCCTTCACATTTCTTGTTTTCTTCAATTACAGGCCTTTTTCCTGATGTAGGTGGAGGCTACTTCTTGCCAAGACTTTCAGGAAAGATTGGCTATTACCTTGCTCTTACAGGATTTAGACTGAAAGGAAGAGATTTGCAAAAAGCAGGAATTGCTACACATTTTGTAGAATCAGAAAAGGTAAATCTGTCAATCACTACCTTTGATAATAGGTCAAAGTGTTAGATTTACTTGAAGTTGAATTTCTTCTTTGTGCAGATATCACAGATTAAACTGATTTTTAATTATGTAATTAAATTTAGCCTCTCGAGCATCAACCCCATTTGATGCAATATGAGTATTACACTTTCTCAGGGTGTCCAGGACCATGAACCACCATTTTACCCTCCTGCCTCCAGTGAGATGGAGTCTTGCCTGCGGTAACTGTACTCCTCTCTGACTCAGGCAGATCTCATGGTCCAGAAACATACTCAACTCAAGCAGCCTGGCTCACAGGAGGCACTGAGCATTGCCAGCTCCCAATGAAGCCAGTGGTAATTGGGTGCTCAGCATGTATTAGGCACCTGTTCTTATTTACAAAACATTAAATTGATATTTTGCTACTGAAAGTAACTGAGTTATGTTCAGCACTGGATTGTGGTAGCCAGTTGTGAAAACTTCAGTTTACTAGAATCATCTATTGAAAGAATCTACTAATGCTTGCAAATGGGCAGCCGATCAAAAACTAGTCCAAGCCCACACCTGAGTCCTCATGAGAGCCAAGTATGAGTCTAGGTGATAGCAGTTAAGGCAGCCACTGACTCCAGATTCCACTTGGAGATGAGCTGCTAGGTGGTCAAAACACAGGGAAGAAATCAAGTCACAGTCAAAACTGCATCTTTAGCTCTCTTTCCCAGTAACATATGTATGTCTAGATCCCACAGACACTTTACATGCTGATTATCTTCTCACACATTAACAATTTCAGTGAAGCCAATGGAAATTACTAATGTGCAAGTTAGATTCCTGAGTGTTTACAGGATGGGGGCCTTAAAAAATTGGCTGGGGAGAAATCTAAATCATCAACTCATTTGGTAAAGTCATAGCATGAGATTGTGCCTATCCCTTGCATGGATGGGTTAAGTGGGCAAGAGAAAATAACCAGCTTTCCCTATACTCTCTTCCTCTCCACCTCTGCACAGTGACACTCTTTGCACTCAGGAAGAAGGACCCCATAAGGCTAGTTCAGCTACTGACAGTATCTTTTCTGAAGCGTATCAGGAGGGTGCAAGGCCTTGACTCCACCTTCTCATTTGCGCTATCAGAGTTAACTAGGTGCCTAGGCTATGAAACGCTACACTATCTTTGAAGTGTAGCACAGCACCAGGACTCCCAGTACCCTCTCAAGCTCTGTGAGTTATTGTTTGCCTGCTTCATCCACAGGTCTCAGTGTATAAAAGATTATGCCTCAAGGTCACCCCATGAGGTGGAGGTGGACACCTCCCTTACCTTATATGTTGTTCTGTGAGCAACAGCAGTCGTGTGGTCTGAAATATAGTCCTCCAATGGTACATCATAGCAAGTGCACCTCCTTCCAGGGGGTTGTAAAATAGTCCATACAGAGAAGAAAATAGCTTTTAGACTCTCCAGGTAGGAGACCCTCTTCTTCATGAAGAGGAGGGGAAGCAGACTTTCAGGCTCCACAGAAAATCTCAGTTCCGATCCTCCTATGCAGCTAAAAGTCAAGAGTTAGAACTGGGAGTTTCAACAACAAAACCAGCTCATCTTCTTTTCTCAGTGGTCTCAGGATGGTAGTGCTCTGTTCTTTAACACATAGCCTAGAACTCTGGTCTGAGAACTCTAGATCTGATTGTTTCAGAGCACCACCCCCAGCTGGCCTGAGTTCTTCCCTTTTAAGGGCTCATCCCCAGGCCTGAGAAGCTGCACAGATGCAGCAGTTTGGGGCTGATTGTGACCACAGCAGTTCTTTAACTCTTTCATGATAGGTAGGGGTATGGGTGGCTCTCTGCCCCACCACACAGAGGTTCTGCTTAGGAAGAGGTCCTCTGTACTGATCTCCAAAGGTGTCATTCAGTCCAGACTGCTCAGTTTTCAGAAGTGCTGAGCATCTGCTGCTCCCATTGGCTGCTTATCACCTCTTTAAATCAGGTCAAGAGTCTTTAATCCATAACTGTGAAAATAATCTAGCTGGAAATACATTTTATTCCCCTATTATTTTAATTTGCCTTTTTTTTTTTTTTGGTAGCTGCCTGCACTAGAGGAAGATTTGATAGCACTAAAATCTCCTTCTAAAGAAAATGTTGCCGATGTACTGAACTCATATCACATGAAGGTAATCTGCTGGCTAGCTACAATCTCAAACTTTATTAAAGGGGCAACTTTAAAGTTAAATAATCTTATTTACATAACACTCATTTGCTGTATGTTTGTGTAGCACCCTACAGAATGGATTCCCAGCCTCTACACACTACTGCAAGATGTTAATAATTTATATATTAACATTAAATAAGTGATTAAAATTGAAAGAATTTTAAAAATCTAATTTACTTTTCACCACTTTTTGCATTTCTTTCGATTTGGACAATGAAGTTAGACTAGTCAGTTTTATTTGGTGGTTCTCATCCACTGGCACAGTGGTGCTGAACATGTAAATTTCTAAGTAAGTGCTAGCTATTACTATTCATTGTTTTTCAGTTTTGATGTTCAGCGCCTGGGGACAGCCACTGACAGAATGAGACCAGCACTGAGGGAGGCACTGGGTGCAGGGGAAGTGGCCACGCAATCTGGAATTATGTGGATTCAGTGGCTCTGACATCCCACCACGTGACACCGAAACTGCTATTACAGCCTAAAGACCAAACTAGGAATTGTGAGGGACTCCCATTCATTTTAATGCCATGACATATCCCTCAGTTTGGGGTGGGTTTTGCCTTCCCACCTGTGCCATTCCCACTTTACCTGCATGAAACCATTTTACTCTGGCTTAATATGAATTTCATCCTTATTTCCTTTAAAGTCATCGGCAGAGTCTAAATTTTGAGCCCAGACTTCAGCGATTAATGATGTCCCTTTAACTTTTGAGGCCCAATTTGGCAAATACTACCAAGCATAGTGTATGTTAACAGGATCAGGCTCTAGATAGGCTCTAGTGAAATGCATTTGGAACGTTAAAGCAATGCTTTAAATTAAAGTAACTAATTATTGCTAGTTTTACATTTTCAGAGAAAGATTACTTATTTTCCAAAGCACAAATCCATAATTCTCTCTGTGAATTCATAATTCTTTGGCAGTGAATTTAACTTCATATCAAACAGGTAGAAAATGTCAGATTTCCTTGTAACACGTTGCATGCATGTATCAAAAGGTTTTAGATAATTTGCACTCAGTTTGTACAATAGGAATGTAGCCACTCTAGTAAGCTTCACAGTACTTATTCCAAAAGAAAAAAGCCCTGGTGTTAACAGAGGCTTAATTTTGTTCCTTCATCCCATGTATGCCTCCGAGATTGTTTGGTTTTAGAATGAGATTCGTATCCACTATTTCCCAGTTAGAATTATTAGGTTCTTGTATAAGCACTGAGTGGAAAAATAATTGGAATAAATTAATGTATCTAACGCCACTGAATATCTTTGATAAAATGGAAACTATAAGCCAAGAGATAGAATATGTTGCTATAAAGTACAGTGCAAGCTGAGAGTTAAAGGAATGGAAGCTGCACTTTGGCAGTCATTGGAATAGAAGTGACAAGGAACCTGTTTGAGCTGCAGCTAGTGTCAGTGAAACATCAGTTTGTATCCTAAGCCCCCTAGTGCTAGCAGGTCTAAAACATTTGTCATGAGCTCCAGTTCTAACACACCCCATCATGCAGTCCCAGCTGCTGGCAGTCAGTCAATACCAGCAGTTAATGTGAACCAATTAACCAGAATTGTTATGTCTTCTAATTGTGTATGTGTAAACATTTTATAAATATAAACAAAAGGACTAGAAAGAGGCCCTGGTACTTCTATGAAGATTGGATGGGTTATAAATAATTTTATTGTTGCTGGTAAGGTGTTATCTTCATAGAAGATTGTATATTTATTGATGCAAGCATACCTGATTATCTTACAAGTTCAGAAGATGTCCCAACATTAATACTGTAAACCAAAACAACGAAGCAAGCACAAAAGAGGAGAAAAGTTTTATTCTTATAAGACTTAAAGAGAAAATAAAATTAATTGGGATCAGCCAATAAATTCCATCGTACTAAGTTTCTTTTAAAAAAAATCACCCAAATTTGATTATAATTCTCTCTGTGATTATAATTTGATTATATATTATTGATTATATATATAATTATAATTATATATATTGATTATATATTATAATTTGATTATAATTCTCTCAGCTAACAGCTGCTACTCCTTCCCTCCTCCTCCCCGCTTATAAATGGATATATATTAAAAGAAAATCTGTACATACCTTCCAGTTAGATATGGATCTCTAATATTAAAATGGAAATAACCATTGTACAAAAATGTTTACGAAAACTACACATCTCTCATATTACAGCTTTACTTCCCTTTCCTTACTGTTCCCCAGAGAACTCTGAAAGTGTATCTAAATCATCTCTCTCTGTATCTGTTACTGACAAATATTGACAAAACATCTTTGAGCTATCTGATAGCTCGTAACTAACTGCATCATGAGATAAAAACATAAAAGTATTCAACACACAATGACAAGTTTGTATGTACTGTAAAATACTGTTTGATTAAACATGGCAATCAGCATTAACTGAGCTATCTGCGTAAGCTTTTCTGTAGTGCAAATCAATATAGTATTTCAGTACCAGTGATGGGCTTTTAAAGTTTTCAAATAGGCTGAGACAGAACCAAGTGAAAGATGTATTTTCTTTTAAATAGTGCAAAATTGATCAAGAGAAGCAGTTCGTACTTGATGAACATATGGACAAGATTAACAGGTACGCAATCATTCTTTCCTCTTACCTCTTTTGTGTGGAAGATTTGCATTAATATTAATGTTTACTGGATTTAACAGGTTGTGTAATAGAAAAGGCTAGAGCCTGGTCTGAACGTCTGTTTTTGTAGGGTTCTTGACCTTGTAGACTTATTACTTACCCATGGTCTTCTACATATTACAGGTGTTCTTGGCTGATTCAGTGATAAAAGTAACTTTTGATGAACGTTGCTATAGTCATTAAGTCCCTTGTTTGTCAGCTTGTCACTCTTGTACATAACTGCCCTATAACACACTAAAAACAAAGACACTTGAAAATTGAAATTTAGGGTTTTGGGGGGCAAGGGACAGAATATGTATGTAATTCTTTGGGTATTGAGATGAAGCTACATCTGTGACCGGTTTTGTGCAGCTGGGTACCAGAAAGAGGTTGATGGATGGAAATCAGGGAACACCACTAACAAAAAACTAAGCCTTGTAGGATAGATTTGAGGAGAAGCTGAAATAATAATATATGGATATCTTGAATAACTGAGATGATATAGTTCTTTACAGATATTTTATGAGTGCAAACAGCAGTCAGAATGAAATTGATACCATAGGATTATAAATACATACATAAAACAAAAGTAGAAGTTTTAGAATTAATATCAGTATTCCCAACTGAGGTTTATTTGAATGTGAAATAGTCTTGAAAGGGAAATGGAGGAAACCTCATCAGTATATTTAAAAGTAGTTTGAACAAAGCAGGAGAGAATATTTTGTTGTTTATTATTTGTACTACCATGGCACCTGGGAGCCCCATTCATAGACCACGGCCCCACTGCACTAGGTATGACACAAACACAGAATAAAAAAGGGAGTCCCTGCCCGAAAGAGCTTACAATCTAAGTATAAGAGAAGAGACAACAGATGGTTACGGAGAGACTGATGGGGGAGCACAAGGAAACAGTGAACCAGCATTGGTCAGCATGATAGCAGTTGTCAGGTTTTTTGTAGGCTTCACAAAAAAGGAGAGGTTTAAGGAGGGTTTTGAAGGAAGATAATTACAGTAGAACCTCAGAGTTACGAACTGACCAGTCAACCACATATCTCATTTGGAACCGGAAGTACACGATCAGTTAGTGGAGACAAAAAAAACCTCAAGTATTGTACAGAACCATACTGTGTTAAACGTAAACTACTAAAAAAATAAAGAGAAAGTTTAAAAAAAGATTTGACAGGATAAAGAAACTGTTTGTGTGCTTGTTTCATTTAAATTAAGATGGTTAAAAGCAGCATTTTTCTCCTGCATAGTAAAGTTTCAAAGCTGTATTAAGTCAATATTCAGTTTTAAACTTTTGAAAAAAACCACCATAACATTTTGTTCGGAGTTATGAACATTTCAGAGTTACGAACCACCTCCATTCCCAAGATGTTTGTAACTCTGAGGTGCTACTGTAGTTAGTTTTGTGGATGTTTACAGGTAGCTTCTCCCAAGTGTGAAGTGGAGCACAGAAGAAAGCACAAAGGTGCTTATTTGAATATTTTACAAGTGGGTGATTAGAGGCGGGAGCTGTCCTTTCAGCACTGAATGAGAGATGATGGATCATAAAGGGCCTTGAAAATGAAGACAAGTAACTTATATTTGTTATGATAAAGTGAGGGAGCCCGTGGAGGGATGCAAAGAGAGGGTGACATGGTCAAAATGATGCCCCAAGAAAATGACCGTTGCTGCTGCATTCTGAATGGATATGAGAAGAGCAAAATTTTATTTGTCAAGGCCAGGGAAAAGGATGTTGCAGTAATTAAGATGAGATAGTGTAGAGAATCAGGCTGATGGTCTAGTTAAGCTGTTCTGTTTTTAATGTCTGTGAGTTCTCATTACTTTCCAGGCAGGAAGGAGGGTGGAATCAGATAACACATTTAGTCATATGAGGCTTTTCTTGTTTTTTTTAGTCTGTTTTCAGCAAGCTGCATGGAGGAAATCATTCAAAATTTGAAGCAGGATGGTTCTCCTTTTGCTCTTAAGCAGCTAGAGGTAATGTTTAGTTATACATTTTTACCTTAATAATTAAGTCTTAAGGATTGATTCTGGTCTCAGTGAAACTTGTGTAAGTCTGGAGCAACTGCATTAAGGTCAGTGGAGTTACACTGGTGTAAAGTTGGTGCGATAGCAGGCTCAGGCCCTTCAGATCCAATCCTTAGTCCTTTAGGATTTAGTCAGTAGGACTACACACACTCGTAACTGTAAGATCAGAACCTGAGTCTTCATATTTATTGTAAAACAGTCTTACACCGCACAAATTTTACTTCATATCTACTCCTGACCACACACACACACACACCTCCTCTCCCGTCATAATCAAAGGTTTGGTGGTAATGGAGGTTCTCTTTGTACTTTTGTTGCTCTGAAATGATATGTAAAAATTGTGGCAAACTCGGTGTTTTCCAAATTAATTCAGTGGCACATTTCAGACTCCAGTACTCAGAAAAAAGTAATGTCTCTTCATGTATTTAGTCATATGGAATCTTTGAATTTTCTGTCTTTTTATTAGTCTCAAGTAGATTTACTTTGCTGACCTGTGAAAAATTTTCCCAGGGTCTATTAAAACATTGCTTAATATTGGGTTGAATTCATGCATTTCTCAAGGAAAGCTTTGATACTAATGCAGGATTATAGCTACGGGAAGAAATGCTGCTCTTGTACAAATGTATAACATGTATTCTTCTCACCCTCCCGTGAACTTACAGTATAAGACATAACAGTATCATTAACTTTCCTAGGCAGACTGGAAATAAATGTCTTAAAATTATCAAAGAATGTACCTGAGGTAACACAGATGTAATTATCTGTAATCACTGAGGTCAGACTAGCAGATCACAATGGTCCCTTCTGGCCTTGGAATCTATAAATTATATTTTAGCAGCCTCACAGGTTGTAACCAATAAACATTTGGCCAATCTAGGGTTTTTGTGGACAGTCAAAATGTTGACCATGGTAATGTTTTTGCATTCTCACAGATTATATTGACAATCTTCTTCACAAAGAAATGTGAATTAAGATAAACATATCTCAAAAAAAGGGAATTTTAGAAGCCACCTGCATAGCAAGCATTATGCTCAGTATTTAAAAGAAAAAGTTTGTTTAATGTTGTGTAGTAAAATAGATCAATCAGGTATGTTGTAAGGATAAATACAATAAAGATTACGAGGCGCTTAGATACTATAGTGGTAGGGCCATATAAGATAGATACCTAAAATAGATCAGCCCACTCAGTTGTATTTATAATCTGCTGAACTGCAATGGGATATTGTAAACCCCTTTTACAATATCATTGTAGAACTATGTTTAACCTCACGCTGATGATAAAATTAACTTTTGTGGAGGCTGACAGACCATCGAAGATTATTTAACTATGGCTTTTTCTAAGCGTATAGTTATGGCACTATAAAAATAATGAAATCTAGTGGAATTGTTTGACAGAGAAGATAGTGTATAAAGGACGTTACAATGTTTTGTGCGTTCAAAATACAGTTCACATTATAAAGACTAGAAGTGCTTTCTTATTGGTTTATAGTCACTATCCAGGCCCTGTATATTCCACGATCCCATAACTACCAGATTTGCTGCAGAATTCACCCCCTTGCTGCAGAATCTGACCTATTTAAAGCCAAAATTTAAGTTCTTGGTCCTTATGGTTGTGGAGATTACATTTGTTTCACATCTTTTAGGTTAACTGATGCAGTATCATCTGTGTCTTCAAGAAGAGCCTATGTATGAGTAAGCAAAGGCCCTGTGCCTTTAAAAAGAATTTTTTCCCCATCTGTTTCTTCTATTCGTTTGTGCATTTAATAGCACTTGGTATGTAGTAGATGATACTGTTTCCCCTCTATGGTTGGTTAATGGGTGATTCTTGTTCCTCAGGCTTGATACAGTAATTACTAGGTGATGGTCTATAGCCTGTGTTATACAGCAGTTCAGAGTAGGTGATTATGATGGTCCCTTCTGGCCTTGGAACCTATGAATCCTGCAAATACTTTATAAGATTTAGTGTTTATTACTGTGAATAATCCCTTTATTTCAATTGAATTACAGTAGAAGCCTTGTGCCCACTAGTAAGTGTCCAGAGGATCAGGGCCTTTGTTTCCCTTTTTGCTTTTGTCAGTCTTTCACACAGCCACAGGAACAAGAAACATTTTTAACAACTGGAAAATGGTAAGACCACAAACATTCCCTAGGGGGAACTATAGGACCCATATTCTACCTGAAACTACTTTTAACCTTTTTTTTTTTTTAAATTGACTAGAATTCCAATTGTGGTGTCACTAACTGCAAAATTCAAAGATGTAACAGAATTATAGTATAAATATTTGTTGCAAAAGGAAGAGTGATGAGATGATTCACAGATAAAACATTAATTTGATACTTTTGAAAAACATTCCTGATATTTAGAAATTCCTGGCTGTAGATTGAATCCAGGGTAAATTATCTGGACCCACTTTAAAATCAACTAACTAGTGGGCTGCTTAGAGGTTTAAGGAGGCATCCCATGCAATCTGCCATTTATTTTTCACTGCAATGTTTAAAAAAAAAAAAAAAAGACTGAAGTATGTGGTCTCCACTGTTTTAGAGTAACTCCAGTGTGAAAGCCTCTTGTTAACATGACTGGCTTTGGGGCTTCTGAGGTTACAGGCAGTGAGATTCCAGTGTCATGCCTGGGTCAGAAATAGAGATTTTGAAAGACTGAATAGCTCGGGGAATTGGTAATAAAATATAGAGTCATTCAAATCCAGCCCAGGAAAATTATGACCAAAAGTCGTTAACATCTGATGGCTGTTTGGTGGCCTGTGTGAAATGAGTCAATTTCTAAGTATTATAGACATCTTAAAGTACCATTGCTGCTGCCATTAACTGGTACGTTGACTGGCAGACGCAGCTCAGAGGCCAAGGAATGAATGTGCATATGATCATTTTTTCCTCAAGGAGGGTGATATCTCCAGGTCAGAATGGTGGCACAGTGGTGATGCATTGTGGGGAAAATTACGTTGCCACTACCATGTTGTTGAAGAATAGAAAGCTTGTCTACAGGGTAGAGGGATGAGAGGTTTTAGAGTGAAATTGTCACCAACAGCAATAGCCAGAGTGATAGATGCCTGTAGTTTACCTGATGCATTAATTACTTTTGGCAAACTGAATCCTATTTGTATGTAATATTTTTACCCTGGTGCCCCCTCTTGGCTGCTTGTTAATGAGTTCTGTAGAAACTTTAAAATTTCAATAGTTGTTGCTTTCCTTCCTCCTTTAAAATATTGGAAATGGGACAGGGAGAAACCATACTTTAAAAACAAAAACTAAGACAGCAGTCACATCTCAATATACATTCACAGCAATTCAGCCAGAGTTACCTGGTAACCAGTGAAAGGCAGGTTAGAAAGGTAAGAAGAGCCAAACAAAAGGAAGAAACAATGGACATGTCAGCTGCTGGGACAGTGGTTGGAAAGCTGGTGCAATGATGCCCTCTCCTGAGCTGGCTTCTCAAAATTCCCACTTCATTTCTAGTCTGCAAAAATGACTCAAAGTCCCTTATAAAAACATTTCAGATATTTTAGAAGATGTTCATTTACATTTTGCTTGTTAAAAGCACACATACTTCAAAAATACCAAGCAATATCATAACCCCCGTATCCTGGCCAGATTCCAGTTTGAGTAATCAGTTCTGCATAGCTCTGATTGCCCTTTTAGTATCATTTGGATATGTTACTCTTCTTCATTTCCTGATCTAAACTCTTATGTCTACTGTTGTGAACTGATAACCAGTGTAGTCTCACTTCACCCTATACATGATGGCATTTCATTCTCCCATATGTCGCTTTGGACAGATGATATAAAATAGAGCCGTGTGTTGCAAGCACTTATGCGCACAAGTAACTTTACTTGTATTAAGTGTTTGCAGAACTGCTACCTGTGGAAGGGTGGAATCGCTGCTGGTGTGCTCCCCTCGTGGCTGAATGTGGTGTAGCTGCTCTTTCTGCTGTGGCATGGTGTGTCTCCTGCCGATGTTCAGTCTGGTCCTGTGCGGGTCTCTTTTCTCATGACTTGGCCGTCCAGCCAGGTCACATTTTAGGTCCACCCCTTCCAGAGTAACAAAAGTCCAACAACCTTACATCAGATTTTCAGCCCTTGACTCTGGGTCCCAGGGTCCTTAAATCTTCTTGTCCCCCAGGTCCTTACATCCTCTTATCCACAGGGCTTTCACGAGTTCTCATCCCCTTATACGAGGGGGAAGTTCACTTCACCTTCTCTGGTGACTGGTAGGGGAACTTAGGTCCTCCCACTTCTCTGGGTATTAGCCCAGGGACCCTATAGTGAAAAGATAAAGTTTGTCTATTCAGACCCACCTTGTGCTACCTTCTCTGCACTTTTTCCTACCTCAGCCTGTCAACAGGCCTTTCCGATGGCTCCTTCTTGGGCCTGCTGTGTACCTGTCTTTTTCTCAGACTCTCAGGGTATGTCTATACTGTAATTAGACACCCATGGCTGGCCTGTGCCAGCTGACTCAGGCTCACAGGGCTTCGACAGCAGCGTTGTTTAATTGCAGTGTAGACTTCCAGGCCCAAGCCGGAGCCCAGGCTCTAGGACCTGGGGTTGGGGGGGGGGGGGGTTCCAGAGCTCAGACTGCAGCCTGAGCCCAGAAGTCTATACTGCAGTTAAACATCCCTGCTTCAGTCTGAGCTCAAGTCAGCTGGCATGGATCAGCCCTGGTCTAATTGCAGTGCAGATGTACCCTGAGAGTCTCAGAAAAATACAGATACACAGTGGGCCCAGGAAGGAGCTGTAGAAAAGGCCTGTTGACAGGCTGAGGTAGCCACGGGTGTCTAATTGCAGTTAGACATACCCTCAGAGGTTTCATACTTCATAACTTTTACAGGATTCTTCCATGGAGATCTCCAACAAGTCCCAAACCAAAAGTACAAACTTAAACCACTTCCACCTTACCCAGGCTCGAACGTGAGTGCTTCTGGAGGCTTCCCAGATAC